GCCGACCGACGCTGTGACCTTCGCCGATCGAAGCTTTGATCGTATCGATCATTTGAATAAGGTAGTCTACTAGTCTCTGACATTTCAAAAACATTCAATGTGTCATTAGTTGTATTTATATAATGTTGTTATAAATGTTAAAAAATTTAATTATAGTACAAAATCGAATGGAATCGAACCGAATCCGAATGATTCCATATATATATTTGGACCCGACGGTTCCATTTATTAGATACCCAGAAATTTTCGTTTGGTTCAACCCGTGCTCACCTCTAAGGAGAAATTTTCTTGATTTTGGCAATTTTTATCTCCTATTTCAACTCAAATACTCCATTGTTGATTTTATTTATTGTAATAGTACTTCACATTGTATTAAACTCTTCATTGTATCATATACTCCTAGTATTTTAGGGATTCTTGTATTATAAATATGTGGTGTATTACACATATCTATTTGATCAATTCAGAGAGTGATCTCGAGGGAATTCAGGTTAATAGAGAAAAACTCGCAGATGGAGATATTGGGGGAGTCATAAGATCCCGCATAACATATTGTAACTCCTTACTTTTGATATAGTAAATTTTTCGCCTATGTCTATGGTTTTCCATCTTGGGTTTTCCCTTAAATTTTGTGTTCCTGTGAATGTTGTTCGCAAAATATTTCTTCTCGATTTTAAAATCCACCGCAAGTGTACAGTTCGTTAACAAGTAGTAAAATGGACTATGAGTCCAAGTATCGTTCCCACGAGGATTAAATTAGCTCTAATTAAACTAATGTGACCTTAACCGAATCTAATTGAATGAAAATTTGGTTTAAATGTGAAAACCCTAATTTTGGGAGAAATCCCCAATTTGAAACCCTAATTGCAAAGAAAACCCTAATTTCAAAATTGGAAACCCTAATTTCGAAATTTCACTAATCTAATGAAATAAACACGCAACTGAAATGTAAATATGCAATTTTAGAACTATTGTATTGAAATGAATTGAAATGAAATCATTAAGAACTTGAATCCCCAATTGACCATTAAAAACCCTAATTTCACAAATTCAACGAATCGATGGAACAAAATGTCAATTCAATGTTCCTAAATTATCCAATACGCTCTCTCGATATATATTGATTCTACTCTTACACACCACCAGCCTATATTTCTATGGATGATGCAATGTACAAGAATGCATGACTTTTTATGAACATTTTCATGAATTGCATAAAGCATAGAGGTAAGTTTCCATCCCCTATCGGACCCTATGTCGATTTATATTCTATCGAATTTATTCCCCTTCTTTCGAATGCAAAGAATAAATCATCTACAATCACATAATAATTGGCCAATTAATTATGGAAGCATTCAAATCATATAAACCAAAGATTTGTCCAACCGAAACTAATGTTGAATTTATGAAATAACGGAAATTTAAATCATCAAAAGGTTCATCAAATTCCTAATGAACAAAAACCCTAGCCTATAATCATCATTACAAAATCAAGAAATTGAAAAACGAAATTAAAAGATAATAAGAATACACCCGTATGGAATTTCTTCAATCCGTGTGTATAATCTTCAATCCCGTCTCGAGCCCATGTGAAATTGAATCCAAAATCAAGTTTCTTGCCTCCAATTTTGGTCTCTCTCTTCTCCCTGGTCGTTCTCGCCCTTCATATGATGAATTTGGGTATTTATATCGCGTCCAAATTAAGTAGAAAAGGAGTTTCAACCAAAACGAAAAACTACGCCCGAGGTTTCAAAAACGAACTATGCGACCGCATAGAAGGAATCTATGCGGTCGCATAGTTCAAATTATTTTGGCTCATTGAATCCCTGAAGCCTTCTATGCGACCGCATAGAAGTTTACACTATACGGTCGCATAGAAGTAACCATCTATGTGGTTTGTTCAATTTGGTCCCTGAACTTCTTTGTTGCTTCTCTTGACTTTTTTCTTCGATTTCTTCATCTTTTCAACAATTCTAATCTTCCAATTGATGATCGACACTTTCAAATATTATGCCACTCATTCGGCACATCTTTTGAATATTTGCACTTTAGTCCTCCAACTTCCAATTATCTTCATTTTAGTCCATCTTTCATTCTTTCTTCCTCCACTTGTTTTGCTTTGTCATTGAGCTCATACTTGGCATGTTTTTACTCTCGTTTTGCATTTAGCTCAACTTTTCAATATTTGCACCTTTGGTCCTCGAACTATCAAATTGTTGCGTTTTGGTCCTTCTTCGGCTCTTTTCTCCTGAATTCCACAATTTCCATTGAATTACCTACAATGCATGAATTTAACTAGATTAAGTCACAATTCAACCATTTTATCCCTGTTTAAGTCATGTTTGTGAACCAAATAAGTGTGTAAAAACACACTTATCAAATGTTATTTTTTATTTTCATCTATTATCTGATTTTTAATATTCATAACAATAGAATCAATTTTTAACAAATGGTATCAGAGCTATCACCAATTTTCTAACACTCCATTTTTCTTCTGTTTATGTGCTTTCTAAAGAATGAACTTTCCATTTAAGTACGATTGGTGCAACTTTACCGAAATACATCGTGTTCATGGCACAAATTGGCTGTACAGCTATTGGCATTTTGGCATTCTCAATTTTTGGTCCAGATTGGCTAACTAGGAGCATGGCCCTTGCTGTGGCCTTAGCCTTCATGATATTCACTTGCACAATACATCCTCGTGGTAATCACTTGCGAAACTAATTTTCTAAAAACACAAATAGATATTGGCAGTCCTATGTATTGATTTGCAGATAGCAAGTTTGTCACTCTTTTCGACATTTGCAGCAAGAGATTATTAGAATTGGGTTGTGACCTGAATTCTTGTTGAATATTTGCTTGAAAATAATGTTGTAGGAGTATTAGGAGTTGATGGCAGACTCGAAGATGTCTTGAAAAAATTCAAGGTGAATTTGAACTCCTATCTCATCCCAAATTCTCCATTATTGATTTTACTTATTGTATTGGAATTTCACCTTATATTAAACTTTTTACGTGTTAATTCTTCTAGTATATTAGGAATTCTTTGATTATAAATATATGGTGTACAACACATATTGAAACTGATCAATTGTCCAATTACTTATTGGTTCAAAGAAATATTTTGTAACTTCTTGATATTGATTATAATAAATTCTCTGCCTCTACCCGTGGTTTTCCCAAATTTGAGTTTGCATACAAATCTTATTTTCTTCGTGATCCATTATTTTTATATTGCTCTTATTTTCTTGTTCTTTAATCATATGGCGGGATTCTAATCAAATTGGCATCAAAGCGATTTTGGTAACTTGATTGGTTGTAACAAGTGATATCAAAACAAGGTTTTGATGGTTCTTATGAGGGCCAAATTAGTCATTAAAGCGAGGTTTAACAAGGTTGATTGTTTCGGGGATGATAAGTATGAAATTTGAGTTCTGCTTTTGAATTGCGACATGATTTTTTTTGTTATCACAGATTTTTTTGTTTAGGTGCTGGAGGAGAAGCAATGTAAGGATTGGTTATATATCTTGGAAAGTTCGACGATCACTTTGGATGCAATTGCAGCTTATACTCTGATAAGCGATGACTCGGGTGGAGTCGGTTGTGATCAGGTCGTTCGTGATTATTCGAACAATAATATTGAGGAATCTTTTAGTATTTCAAGTAGAGCTGTTGTGATGTTGTTGATCATATTGCTCATGGTAATTTGAGCAGATTTGACAACTTGGGTGAAATTGGAAGTCCTCATGGTGATTCAAGGAATCTTAATAACTCGACTGGAGCTGGTAATGAATGAGATGATTCAAGTAGGTTTAGCACGCAAAGTAATTCTACAAGTGAGCAAAGTTTAAAATTTGTTCACAGCTGCTAAGTATGCCCAAGAGGGCATGGTTGAAATAAAAGGTAATTTGGTGAAGTGTTTTGTCGGGAGAATTTTGTTACAGTTAAAGACTTAAGTTTTATTTCTTGCAATGGAATTCGTGTTAAGGTAGAGTTTGTTAGAATTGAATTGTGACTCGAATTCTTGTTGAGTATTAAATTGAAAATAATGTGAGTATTGAGAATTAATAGTAGATTCGAAGATATCTTGAAGGAGTCCAAGGAGAATTTGACTCCTATTTCATCCCAAATTCTCTATTATTAATTTTACCCATTGTATTGAGATTTCACCTTATATTAAACTCTTCATGTATTAATTCTCCTATTATGTTAGGGATCCTTTGTTTATAAATATGTGATGTACAATACATTAAAATTGACCAATTGTTCTATTAATTATTAATTCAGAGAAATCATTTATAACTCCTTACCATTAATTATAGTGAATTCTCTACTTCTACCCATAGTTTTCTCGAATTTGAATTTCCACGTAAATCTTGTTCTCTTTGTGATCCATTATTTTCATATTGCTCTTATTTTCTCGCTCTTTAATTTTTTTTGGCCAAATTATCAACAAATTGGTATCAAAATGATTCTGGTAACTTGTTTGTTTCTAACAAGATGGTATGCTCCTTGAAGAACTTAAAATTTTGATGAGCAAGCTGCAAAGATCTAGGTGAGGAAATAAAAATCTGTGGCAACAATTATACAGAAAAGATTCTGTATGTAAATATTCATTTGATCTAGTTGTACATAACAAGTTGACAAAAATGGTTCACAAAACAAATGTTAGAAAAATTTTGACATTAGATTTCAAATGATTTAAAAAAGTGCTTTTGAAATGATTGATGTAAATATTGTTTTGTAAACCAACTTTGTCAACTAATTTTGTACAAGGGGCATTACTCGTAAATATTACCATATATGTGTATGGCTGGTATGTGGCGGTCAACATGTTTGGTATGGTGGACCAAACAGAATAAGAAAGAAAAATAGATTAGCACTTGCTTCCTTAATCATGTGCCAGGCATACCAGCCATGCCATCCTTGTCATTCAACTCAATTCCCAATCGACAATTGTGAAACTCGACCACAGTTTGAGCATGCGTGACAAAGTAAACTTCCCAGATGAAAATGCCTCAAATAAATAAGGCGGGGATATATACACCATTCGCAGAGTAGAATACACTCATTCACCATTTCCATGAATGTAAAATATATTATCCCAGAGACGGCTACAGTATCAAAAAGGTGGCAGATATTACGATGCAATTTAGTGGAAAAAACACGATTTCAAGATTTATCTGAATGAGACTCGTAGAAGTCACTAGGGCAAGGTGACATGACCTCTAGCTCCAAAAACTGAAGTACTTGATGCATTGTAGGACGATTGTCCGGATTTGCATCAGTGCATCTTGCTGCAATTTCTACGATTGCTTCTACAGTCTCTGCATCAGCATTCCCACATTTTTTGTCCACAACATCCTCCATCCAATTCTCCTTCAGTAACGTATTAATCTGCAAATTATGTTATCAGTTGAAAAGTATATAATAGGAAAAGCTTAGATAGATAATTGAAGTGATACAGCTTCAAATTTGAGAAGAGCATACCCAACCAACGACATTTAATCCTCGTTTTACAAAAGATGGATCAGTAGGCCTCTTTCCAGTTACGAGTTCTAATAGTAGAACCCCAAAGCTATATACATCTGACTTCTCAGTTGCTCTTCCACTCTGCAAGTATTCTGCGTAATATTAAAGAACAAAAAATCTTGGTCAGTTTTATTCCCATGATGATTCTCGGAAATTTTCACAGGTGAGATTAAAAGGAGATGAAGGATTGTTCTACTTCTGAAGAGAAATAGAGGAATTTTGTTGCCTGTATGCATCTTTACAACAAGAGCAACAACAATCTCCCAAATTTCTAAAACTGAATTCTGTATGGTATATGCAATAATAGGAAGCTAACTGTTATATACCAATGGACTCGTCTTAATTGCGATTAATTGATGGTGATGGTGTGGGGTTTGATAAGTGTAATTTATACACTTATTTGGCCCTTTAAATATAGACATTTAGGAGTTTTGATAATTAATTATGGCATAAACACTTGATATTTCACTTGTTAGGTAAAATATGATGATTGAAAGTGAAACTGGAAGGGGAAAAAAGGGGAGCTAAAATGAGGATTTCTAAAGTTTGGGGACTAAATTGCAAACATCCAATCATTGATTCAGACCACAAGAAGATGATAGGAGATTGTATGTATTCAATTGGATCCAAATGGAAGATAACGGATGAAAATTTCTCGAGAAAGACTCAATGGAACAAGGATTCAAGACCAGGGACAAACTTGCACAATTTTGATAGTCGCAGGTGGCGTGATCAAAAGAGCTAGAATGGCCAGGAGCCATCAGGCCAGGGCCTTTCTTGCGTGCATGGCTTCTTCAGGGACCTGGCATGCAGTTTTCCCTTTTGACTTCAAACTCTTTTTGGAAACCAATTTCAACAAGATTTTTGGCCTATTTTCTAAGCCATATAAACAGAGAATGTGGGCACAACATTCAAGGGACCTCTCATATCATATTAAAAAGCCTCTAATATATTATTTATCATCCATTACTGCAATGAAAGAGAGGCCAATTCATCATTCTTTTGAAAGAATTAAGAGGCAATTGCAAGCACATTCAATCAATTGAAGATCCAACCTTGATTCTTGGGCAAAGAAGGGTAGGTGCAACTGAAATTCATCAAGAAATCATTGAATAGATTCAAGATTTCATAATTCATCTCCTTCTCAATTTATCAAAAATTCGAGCAGTGTCAAATTAAATATGACTTGTAATTTTACAATGCTAGACAATGTTTTTATTTACTAATACATAAATGAAACCACATTATGAAATTTTTAATATAAATTAAATATTTTGATACCCAATATATGTTTATTATTGGATGATTGTTATTGTATTTAATACTTTTCAATTACTTGATCAGTAATTAAATTGATTTGCGAGTTTTAATGTTATCGAATGAGTTTTAATATCATCAAAAGAAACAACAAGATAGATGGCACTTATAACCACCTTTGTGAGGTTCCATACGGAATAGGGATATACCTCTATGTTTTGCATGATTTCAATAGATATTCTAGTGTTTTTAATGCATGCTTTTATGTTCGCATCTTTCATAAAGATGTAGAAAAGTCACATGAGAGAATAAATTTAATTCTACGTGAGAGAATTTATTAATTAAATTCAGAACATTATTCAACAAGAATGTGCACATATTGTCGTAATATTGAATTGTAAGGGAGAATCGAAGTCTTCATAATCATCTCATAGTTCTACAAAAAGCTTTCATAATTCAATCATTAGAATAGTTAGCTTAATTAGTTAATTAGTATAAATTCTTCAATCCAATTTGGCAATTCGATTAAATTTAACATTAATTGACACTAGTTAAGTACATAATCCTCATGGGAACTATGTTTTATTCATCACTATATTACTTGTTCACGATATCTTGTACTTGCCAGATTTCATACAAACGGGGTTAAAGACTCGAAATAATTTATTTTCAAAGCCATAACAATAGCAGCAATTGAAATTAACCCAAACCTCTGACTACTAAAATGTACAACATTTTAATTATAATGCAATTCATTAATAACAAAGATCAAGACTAGAATGTTCATAATAAGTTGAAGAACAAACCTGGAGCCAAATAGCCAAATGTGCCAGCAACTACAGTTGTGACGTGAGCATCCTCATCAACCAATAGTTTGGCAAGACCAAAGTCTGAAACGTGAGGCTCAAGGTTCTCATCAAGGAGTATATTGCTAGATTTTATATCGCGATGAATAATCTTTGGACAGCAGTCATGATGTAGGTATGCCAATCCCTTAGCAGAACCAAAGGCTATTCTTAAACGAGCATTCCAATTCAAGGTCCGGTCATCTACACGTTCTGATGAACAGATTATTGAATTGGTAAGCTAATAGGAAACAAAACGCCAAATTCATAATAAGAGAATAAGCATTTAGAAGCAGGTAATGAAGATTCAACCTTAGTATTATTCCAAAAAAATGACATGTAGTAGACCGAGAAGAAGAAATGTACCATGCAATAAATCATCCAAGCTGCCCATAGCTAAGTAATCATAGATAAGAAGCTTGGCCGTGGGAAGTCTGCAGTATCCTCTAAGATTGACAAGATTTATGTGCTTGATGCTACCCAAGATCTCCAACTCTCTCTCAAAGGTTTCATCACAACCTTCACGAGTCCGGTCAATCTTCTTAACAGCAAATGTCCCACAATCATTCATAACCATTCTATATACAGTACCAAATCCTCCAGCCCCAACAACATCCTCCTCGTTAAGAGATTCAATCTTTTCTACCAGTTCACAAGAAGGATAGGGAAGATCACCATGAAATGTGATGAGCTTGGCACCTGAAAAATTATTAAAAATATATATATATATGAACCTTAAAAGTAAAAAATGGGTTAGAAAGTTGTAAGACTTGAAGAAACATCAAGGTTACTTGGTTGTTGATGAACTTGTTTCTTAACTTCTGTGTATCTTTTTGCAGCCCTTTCTTTCTTGGTCAGCAACCTTAACCACAGAAAACCAAGGAGCAAAATAAATGCAAAACCCAATGCGGACATTGCACCAATTACTGCTCCTTTGATATAACGGGATGACCTCTTAGAGGGTACTGTAGCAACACAGCAGTTTAGAACAGTTGGAAAAAAATTAAATTACATGGAAAAGACGTCATTAATTGGATGGCAATGCAAAGACTGACTCCTACTAAATTTCCAATATTTTTAATCTCTGAACAAATACCTGCAGCTTGATCACTTCCAGCATGAGGCAACACAGCAGGAAATCCTAGTGAAGTTCGACAGGGCTTGCTTACTTGTTGACCACAAAGATCTAAATTACCAATGAACCTAGGCATAATAACAGCCTTTTCAGAATAGCTTTTGAAGACATTAAATAATAGTATTAATCTCTATGTATAAAAACACAAGGATAGATCTACTCATATCATCTCTATTTAGGAAAAGAGAAAATTGTTATAAATAAAGTGCGTGTAAAATTTCATAGATGAGTGCAGGGATGGAAGCCCTTAAGGGTTCTAATTATACCATTTTCTTCAAATTGGAAGAGTGAGATTCAAATACCAATGCTATGCATATTCAACTTTAGTGAAATTATCTATCTATCTTGTGTAAATTTTGCAGCAACTTCTCAGCGTACGTTACCAGCATATACAGTTAAATCTTTGCTTGAACAGGTTTGGCAAAACACAATCTTGTACTAAACCATGTATGTGAATCATCCAAACCTTTGCATAATTATAGTGATGATAAAAAAAGGGCATTCATAATTACTCTCGTCATTGCCAACTTCAATTGTAGAGGTTGAACAATGATTTCTCAAAAGGCCGCAGACTATTTTAGTTAAGTTTAAACATCAATCTAGTACTTTGTTCTCACCCTCTTAAATGTAAACCAGTCTCTTGAAATATATGAATTAAGAAGTTATTGCTAACGTTTCAAAATCAAAGTTGATCAACTGATATATGGGGCTCAAACAGGGGCTTAAGACTAGGTACTTACGACTTTCTGCCAAATGTGCTTAGTGTTCCGAAATCTGGAACTTCACCCGACAAGAAATTTGTAGACAAATTTCTGAAGATAAGAAATCAAGTGCATGAGCAACAATACATATGAGACAATTGTATACAAAATGAAAGAGAATGGACACAATGTTTTATTTGAAATAAACCTACAAATATCTTAGACGTTTTAGACGACCGAGAGAGGAAGGTATAGCACCCTTAAGTGAATTGCTTGACAAATCCCTAGGTAACAACAATCCCATATTCATTGATAGATAAATCAATCCAAGTTCCATGTAAGGCAAGTTTCTAAAAATTCATCAAATCAAGATCTTGAGCAAGATTCAGATTTTAAAATAAAATATTAATTTAAACGACAAGAAAATGACATACATAGATATAACCCTTTGGTCCCGGGGACTGCAAGAAATACCAGTCCAGTGACATGGAGATGCATCAGAATCTATCCAGTTACTCAACAAGTTCTTACTGTCATTCAAACTGCTCTTCAGTTCCAACAATGCCACTCCTAAAAAATAAAAGAGAAAAAGAAAATCAAAAAACAAGATTTTCCCATCTGAAAAAATTAGTATAAAAACAAACAAAAAAGTAAAAAGAGACAGAACTGCATACCATCTGGAGTGAGAGCAAGAGACAACTTGCTTATAAGGGTAACAACTGAAAATAACAAAATCCAAACACCCATTCCCATTTCCATTTCTTGATTCAAATGGGTGTTTCTTCACAGTTTCTCCTGTAGTTTTCCTTTATTTATTTTCTACTTCTTTTACTTTCCTGAAAATACTGTGGGGGTTATAGAGAGTTTGAATGAAAGGAAGAGGTGAAAAGAGAATGCCATGATGAACAGAATGACGGAGTCGTGGGAGTGGGCCGAAAAATGGGTGATGTTGTCGTTCACAGTATAGATGAAAAATCTGTAATAATTGGTTGAATAATGCCTTTGTACACGGAGCCTTACAGGCGGATTCCAGTCCCCATCTGAAGAAGTTGTACACCAAACTGTAAGGCTAAGTGTATATGTAGCGGGGCCGTAATTAGTTAGCCCTATTTTGTTCACTTTAGGTCCTGTTTGGTATTTATTTTTTTTTTAAATGTATTTTTCTCTTTCTTCTTTTTAACCATACATTCTTCATTAAAATAATATTACACATAAATAAAAAAAAATTTCCTTATTTTTCAATCACATATTTTTCATTAATTTACTATTCCAAAATACATTTTTACATAAAAATGGCTCTCAAATACCCTCTTAAAACTTAACTGGAAATATTTTTTTTAAAAAAAAAAGAAAAAAGGTTGAACTCCAACCTTGAGGGCTCTTATCGCCCCGTCCATAAAACTTTGTGAGGGATGTAAATCGCGGGATGTACCCCAACAGGCCAAGGAACAGGAGCTGTCAGTACACTGCGCCTACAAGGAATCCAATTTCATATCTCAGGAATCGAACCCCCACACTGCGACTGCCAGCAAAACTTGAGATAATCTCACTTCTATCATTTGCATCATTGAGCTGCTTAACAGGAAATATTTTATAAGTGCTATAAGGGTGTGTTTGATAGGTAGGAAATTCCATAGAAAATGGAATTGCAATTCCATCTTTTCATTTTTTTGAATTTCATCTTTTCATTTTTTTGATGTTTGACTGGCAAAAATTTCCTTAGAATTCATTTTCCACATTTTGATGTCACATTAACATTTTCCATCTTTTTGAGGAAAATGAATTCTCACCAAAATGGTTAGAATTCATTTTCTCGAATTACTGTAGCAATTTTTTTTTTTTATTTTGCAATGGAAACAAATTTTAAAAATAATTGTAAAAAAATATTTTTCTTAATTGGCAATTTTTATGTAAAAAAAAGTCAAACGAACACCAAAAGATAGATGATTTTCTTGAAAAAAAAATTTTGCTTGGTAATGAAAAACAAAATTTCATCCCTAATACCCAATACCAGTAAAATTTATCCATTTAATTGATAATTTTCACGTAAAACAAAGTCAAACAAATACTAAAAAATACTTTTATTTCAACATTTTACACTTAGAAAATCATACCAATCAAATACAATAATTTACAATTTCCAGGAAAACAATTTCTAAGCAATTCAATTCCCTGAAATATATTTTTAATTCAATTTAATTCCATATTTACAACCAAAGGGACCCTAAATGTAATATTTTATATTAATTTGTTGGAAGAATTTGATAAGTGTCAAACAAATTAAAGAAAATAAAATTTTGAATAAATATTTAAGAGAAGAAAATTATAATTTCAAAACTCAATTTCTATGATTTAAATTTTTTTTTATGATGAAATATTACAAATAAACAAAATTTTTATACTACATTTAGTACATAAGAATTAATTGTTAATACATGAATTTAAACACTCATTAAAATTCCTAAATGCATGTATAGAAATAAAATTATTTATAATAACTGTAAATTCATGTAAATCAAGATGCATTATGTCTATATTAATGTTAATTAATTAAAAATTAATAAGCGAAATTCTTACATAACGAGAATTTTATAGTATTTATTACATATTGGAAAACGAAAATTAAGTATTATTGAAATAATTAAATTGTAATATGATTAAAATCGTCCAAAAAATAATTAATACCTAATGTGATATTTAATATATTATAGATATTACTTTTTTTTATATAAATTTTGATGAAAATTAATAAAATATACTGTTTGATTTTATTTTTTATGAAAATTCAAATCAACAATTAATTTTAAATACATATTTCATGGACCCATAATTTTTCAAACAAATATTTTTTAACTTTTATCAAAATATGCTAAAAGTTTGATTTTAATCTCCACTAGACATGGACATATAGTTGAAAAATTGATAAAAATTATATGTTTCGTAAAATATGTAAATGAAAATGAATTTAAAAAGGGACATTACTATGTGTACATCAAATTTTATATACTGAGTTACATAACATCACATATCACTCTATCATTTGTCAATTTAAAGAATAAATTTAGATGTACATTCTTGTTGACGTTGAAGATGACATTACTTCCTATGTGTCAAAATCTAGTCAGTGATATATGAAAGGATATGCTATAAAAATCAATGGCTATGATGAATATAATGTTAAACGATGTCAAATTTAATGTAAAAGTGAAGTAAATGTAGCATTTTTTCAATTTAAAATACAATCAATTTTTTTATCCAATTTTTTCCCCCAACATTATTTTATATAATCTCTTATGTACGATTTTTATTAATATTTTATTTGTCATAGAATTTTGAGAATTTTTTTTATTTTTTTTTTCCGTAAAATTTGATATTTCTAAGGGAATTTGAGGGGAAAAATATTAAAACCCATGAATAAGTTGAAAAGTTTTGAGTGAGGAGACTTTGCTCATGTTTGTCACTCATTATTTCACATTTTATTACATTAATTTTTATATGTATTTATTTTCAATCACACATTTTTCGTTAAAATAATATTACACAAAAATAAAAAACTTTCCTTCTTTTTTAACCACATATTTTCCATCAATCTATTATTCTATAATATATATTTTAAAATTAAAGGGGCTCAAACGCACGCTTCACTTGAAAGCTATATAGAAATTTGTGAATTGAGAAATGGATTTTTTCCATTTGTACGAAATGGCCTTTCATAAAATCATTACAGATACTCGTATAGAGGCGTTCTCCATATAAATAAGGGAAATTGCTCTGTGGGGTTCGGGGCCTTCGGGTTGTGAATATTCTGAAAGGAGTGCTCATAAATAAAATATTTTCAAAAAAATCCCACCCACATACATCCAAATTGGATGTACACCCTGTTTGGCCCCCATTACCTGAAAATGGTAATGGGGGGAATAGTATTTTTTAGAAAAATGAGTGGTTGAGAAAGAAGGTAAAGTTTTCGATTTACGTGTAATATTATTTTATAGAAGATTGTATGGTTGAAAATAGGAGAGAAAAAAATGGAATGTAATGTAATTTAATTTAATGTTAATCAAACAGGGGCGTAATTTGTAAGTTTTCTGTAAGCTTTACTCTTGTGCAAGAAGACAGATTCTTGAAAAATAGCCGTTGTCGCATGGAGTTCAAAAAGTAGAGTTGTATATCTTGCAAGTTAAAATAACTTATACTCGCCTTTCCATGGAAGACACGTGCGCTGAGGGTAGGAATCTACCAGGTTTGACGGATGAAAAGGAGAGTACGCAGAGTTGTGTGGATTGGCGACTGGACTTTGGTTTGAATAAAGTTGTAAGGTTGCACTGCCCAAGTCTGTCACCTCCAGAAAATTTCAAACATGTCTATGATTTGGTTATGTTTGATGTGTGAGTAAATTTTCGAAATAACATTTCAATTTAGCGCTCTTGATCCATTAAATTTTATTACATTATATTTTATTTTTCATTCTTTTATTTTTAATCAGATAATCTTTCATAAAATCATATTACACGTAAATCAAAAAAATTTCTTTCTTTTTTAACCACTAATTTAAAAAAAAAAAAAACTATTCCACCCGTTTTCATTTTTCGAAAATGGGGGCTTGCCTTTTAAAATTTTAAATTATTTGCTACAATATTATTATTCACCAAATATTTAAATAATAAAATATTTTTCATAAAAATCAATAAAGTTCTATAAGGAGATCCCCGAGCCGACCATTCTATCCGATAGCATGGAGTCAGGCTCGGTACCAATTTTCCCTGGCCCACAATTCAGTATGAGCTCTTAAGAGCCCTTCTAGAGAGGGCTCACTATAGTTGAACACTGTCTAACAGTATTCAGCCTACATGAGCCCCCGGGGCGAGGGCAAGTTTCTTTACTTTTTAATCATACGTTCTCCAAAAAGTAGTTTCGCTACAGAAACAGAGTGAAATACAGGGTTAAAAACAGCTTGCACACGTGTCAATGTATGATTGGAGAGTTTGAAAGCTTTTTAAAAAAAAAAAAAAGAAGAAGCCAACAACTTGCTGACACATCAGCCTGTTTTTTTCCCCGTCTTTCTTTTCTATTTATCATTACACTCCAGAAAATATTATTTAAAACTCTTTAATTTTTCAATAATGTGTATCAAAAAAGGCTTAAAAAAAGTTGAATAATAAAACCATGTCTGAGCCCCATTTTACAGTAAGAATGCATTTTACAATAGTAGATTGACGAAAAATATGTGATTAAAAATGGGAAAAAAGTTAAGTTTGCGTTCAATATTATTTTATTAAATAAAGTGTGGTTAAAAAGAAAAAAGTAAAAAATGTATTTTGAAAATAATGGGGACCAAACAAGGGCTAAATAAATAATAACTATTAATAGAAAGTGTGTTTGATCCATAATTATTAGACCCGATCAAAGTATTAGATCATTAGGTTACTAGTTGGATCAATGAATCGGTGTTCGAACTTTGAGTCCTTACTTAAAAATTATTTAAAGTTTTTTTAAAATTGACACAATTATAGTTTTCAGGTTATTTGTCACTAATTATTTGGATGTCTTTAAATAGTGATTTTGTAACCATTTTTATTTAATTTTAAATTTTATAATTTTGTATGTTATATTAAAAAATTATGATATTTTTCCTTTTTGTCATGTACAAATCATTTATTAGTTATAGACCAACAATTTATGTTATTATATATTCAATTCATCTTAACTAAAATTAAAATTTTCATACATAATAAGTCTATAAAATTATTATTTGGTATTACGAAATGACGTAAAATATTGAACTGATTTCTTTCAAAATATTTATAGAAAATAATAAATAATTTTTGAATTATATATATAGCTACTAGATACACAATAATAACAACAAACTTCCTGTGGTAAGGTTTCATTTCTATTATCTAGAGGTCTAATGTTCAATTTCAAAAACTCTAAATTTTCAAAATAAGCCCCCTTTGACCCCCATTCTTGCCAAATTTTG